GAACACATGCCGTGGCTTGGCTGCAGCATGTTSCTTCCCAAAAACTGCTCCAGTGGGAGCATCCACTGGGAGAATCTGTTGAGGCAATCACTGGCCCTTTCCACAATGCCGAGCATCCCTGCTCTGGACATCCTTGCTCCAAGTGTCCTTGCTCTAAATGTCCCTGCCCTGAGTGTCCTGATCCCAAGCATCTTCACCCGAACATTCCCACTGTGAGCATCCCCCCTTCAAGCATTCCAACACCAAGCATTCCTTCACTGAGCATTCCTGCTTCAAACATTCCCTTGCTGAGCAGTCATGATCCCAAGCATCCTTGCTCCGAACATCCCAACCTCAAACATCCCCCACTCTTGAGTATTCCCACCCTGAGCATCCATTTCCCAAGCATCCTGATCCCTAACACCCCTGCCCCAAGTATCCCTTCCAAAAGGGAAAATGCTTTTCCTGGAGGAAACGAGGTGGTTGGACGTGGAAACAAATTTTTTCAACCTTGGAAAAATCCTCCATCTCCCTCGGAATCCCCCAGCACTGGTGGGATACCAGTGCAGAAGCTGTGAGTAGGACTATATCAGGTCCAGCCGGTACTATATCGTACCTTGGCAAGAAGGAAAAGGGGCTGGGGTACTTTCTGCAGTGCTGTCTGAGAGGGGTCTTGGTCATGGAGGTCCCTGAAAATGCTCCTGGGACTAGAGTAAGGCAGAACCGGGCTTCCCGCAGCATAAATCAGCTGAGCCCCCTCAGCTGCCTCAGCATCGCTGTTATTCCGGCTTTTCTCCAGGCTAAATGAGGACAGGAGTGAGCAGCTCAGACCCAGCGCTGGGGTCAGCTGGGGCCATGGAAACAGCTTTGAAAACAAGGCAGGAGAGGCGGCCGTGGCTGCCCACAATGCCAGGAGGCAGTGAGACCGTGAGCCAGCATGGTGGGTACCCCGGCCAGAGGGGAGTTTCTGGTCCGACTCAGCACTTGGGCTTCCCAGATTTCCTCGAATTTCCCTTTTCAGGGCGCTGAGTTGGATTTAGGTCATCTGCTCCTCTCTGGCCTGCCTCCCACTGGCATCTGGGGACTGTGGTGGTGGATCGGCACCGGGAAGGGGTTTCCCATTTTGTGGGGTCTGGCAATGCAGATCGATGCCCCCCAGGAGCATCAGTCCTGGCCAGGAGTGTGTGTGTAATTCTGGCAGCATTCCTGTCCCTGGCAAAGCCCTTTCATGGCACCAGCCAGGCTGTTTGTTATTGTAGGGTCTCCGATGCTGAGGGATGCTCAGGGATGCTTGGGGCTTCCCCTGGTAGTGTCCCCAACCCACCAGCCCAGTGACGGATCCCTGGGGTTGTTGCCAGAGGAGGAAAACCACAATCGRAGTGCCGGGGCTGGCTGAGCTCCACTGGAGCAGGGATGGCAGCCAAACTCCCTCTTGGCTGGCCCGTGCTGCTGGCTGGCAGTGGCTCCCGCTGACCTCTGCAGCTCCCGGCCRTGCCCTCGCCACAGCCCCAGCACACGATGTCCCCCCCAGCCATCCTGATGCCACTGGGAAGGGCTCGGCATCCCCAGCAATGTACGCCAGCTTCCTCTGCACTCCTCCAGTTCCCAAATTCACTCTTTTATTTAAGTTGAGTGGTTTTTTTTGCAGCAAGATGATACCAAGCAGCAGCATCCGAGCTGCTTTGCATGTGCTGAGTTGCTCYGTTCTCTGCAGCTCCTAACCTGTGTGGCTCCTGCTGAGGGGTTTAGCTAATTTTCAAAATGTTATTTTGAGGAATCTTTGGGGCCCTGGCATGGGGAGGAGGTGTTTTCGGAGGATGAGTGATTTAAAATCCATTTCCCTGCTGGCTTCGGATGGATTCAGTTTGTTTTTCATACCAGCAAGGGGTTGAAAGGAGTAATTTGAAGAAGTGAAAAAAGGCAAAAATAAAGGGGGCAGTGGATCTATAGGGCACTGAGATCTATATGCGCACCAAATCTGTAGGGCAACGGGATCTCCGCTGCTGGAGCTGTGGCTGTCCCTCTTTGCCTGCTCGCGGGGCCGGGTCCCTGCCGTGCTCACCGTGAGGGTCGAGGCAGCTCCCGGGGCCTGCTCAAGGACGGCGGGCGGCAGGGCCGGCGTGGGGCCTCCGCCGTCCACCCGCTCGCCCGTCCGTGCACCCCTAGTCCGTCCATCTGTCCATCCCCACTCCGTCCATCTGTCCGTCCCCACTCCGTCCATCCGTCCATCCAGCCCTGCTCGGTCGGTGCAGCCGCAGCCGGCCCGTCCCTACGTGCGCGCGGCGCCGGCACCAATGGCTTCTCCAGCTGGTTTGGCAGGGGGCGGGGAGGGCCGGGGCGGCCGGGGCTCCAACCGCCCGTTCCGTCTTTCCTCCCCGGACGGGCCCGTCGTCGCCTGCGGCTTCGCTTCCCGCAGCGCACACGTAAGTGCCGCCCGGCCAGAGCCGTACCCGAATCCGGCACCGTGCCCCTGCCTCACTCCCCGGTGCTCGCTGGGTTATAAACGGCTCCGGACTATTCCCARGGAGTGCAGCCCAGGCTGGAAACGCTCCAAGGCGGGCTCAGCCTGTGTGGTTTTGGTTTTTTGTTATTTTTTCCTTTCTTCCTTCCTTCTCTCTGTTTAAGGCATTTAGACTGGGGGGAAAAATAAAAAAGAGGAAAAAAGGATTAAAAAAATAAATTACTTTGTCCTCACGGKGATTTCCCCCTCTTCTATAGCAGCCAGAGGATGCAGAAGGGCCTTTGCTGGAGAAGCTGAGTTAACCTGAACCATATAGCTTGGTCTTCTCTTTATTTCCTCCCCTCCCCCCTTGCCTCCCCTCTCCAGCTTTTATCCTTTACCAGGGTGAATGTAAGGGGGTTTGTGAGGTTTGGGCAGGCAGCACTTTTTCCAAGGAAAATAGGCTGAGTGGAGRAATTGGTGCCCATGGCAGTGAGGTGGGGATTGCTGCAGATGCAGCCTGGAGTGTATCGGGGTGGGGATAGGCAGGAGGATCGTTTTTTTTCGGAGAAGCTGTGAGGTCTTGCCATCTCCCTGCCCATAGGACCAGGAACAAAAGGAGCTGAATGGGAGAGCCAGGAAAAAGGAATTTGTTTTACATATACATAAATGTGAAGTTCTTTTCCTCCAATGATTTGRGGAAGGTTGTGGTGTTAGGATTAACCCTTTGGGAGCAATGGGGTATGYTCCTTCCTTTAGTTCACAGGATGAACTATTTTCCTACATTCCTTGYCCATTTCCATAACCCAGTTTATGGGATCAAGCAGCTCAAGGTGCCTCCCTGGCCCTGGGGCTGATTTTTGGGGATTCCTGTGCCCTTTCCCAGCAGGWTCCTCCCTGGGGAGACCCTTGGGGCCAGCCACTGCTCCCCACCTGGAACAAAACAGGTTTGTAATAATTTCTCTGGACTGGCGTCACCACTGTGAGGCTTCAGGGCACTAGTGTGTCCCCCTGAGCCGTTGGAGGGGGCTCGGGATGTTTATCTCCCTGGCACTTGGAAAAATCCCCTTTGGCTGGGCAGGAGGAGGAGGTGGRAGATGACAGTGAAGGAAGGACGGGCGAGGCTGTTTCTTGGTTTGCAAAGGAGAGCGGAGGCGTGCTATCCCCACCCTACCCAGGCTGGGGGAGAAGCACTTTCTCCCCAGACCTGATGGACCGGTCCCACGCTCATGGCTCCAGCGCTCAGCTCCGTGGATGCCACGGAGGTGATGGAGCCCCTCTAAACCCGCGGCATCATCAGGGTGCTGCCGAAGTGGAGCTGTAATGATTTTCACCAACGCTCCGTACCTCTGGGGGCTTTTACCTCTGGGGAGTGGGTTTTGTTGGAAAGAATCATGCTGGGAGTGGTTCCTCCAAGGTTTTCCTGGAGTCAGTAGCGTTCTTAYCTGTCCAGCATGGGTCTATTCATGCTCTCACCACTAAAGGTGAAGGACTCTGTGCCGAGGTAGTGGGGCCGGTGCCTGAAGGGATTAAACACGGCTGCGCCACAAACRGCCACAAGTAGACAGTTTGAACACCAGCTTAACTCAGAGCTGTAACTTTGTAACTCTGGTCTGCTCCTTTCCATGAGCCATTGCCTGCACTGTCCAGAGGCAGGAAACTGCCCACAGGCTTTGCTTGCTTTGGCATGGTTTTTGCAATGAATTTCACCATATTTTTAGCTTGCCAGAAGCTCCCGTGGTTATTGGCAAACTGCTCAATGCACTGCCAACACCCGACTGCCAGAGTATTGAAATCTCCACTGCTGAGGTGGGACAGCACCACAGAGAGCAAGCAGAAAGATCCCCCRTCCCTGGCAAAATCCCTTGGAGGGTCTTAATTGGGATGTACAACCCAGAMGCCAGGGTGTTGTGCTCACTGCATGCCGCCGCCTTGCGTTGGTGTGGACGGATGGGTTTGGTCCGTCCCTGGCGTGCTGCCAGTGCTGCTGCTTGGTGCTGCCAGGGGCCCTGGCCAGCCGTGTTGATACAGACGCTGGGTTATTTGAGGTGAAATCAGTCTCTGGCACTGGCATAGCCAACTTGGCGGCTTCCTACCGTGCTGCAGCCCCCAGCAAAGGATGGCTGCTCCTGGCCAGGATGTTTGCTCCTGGCACAGCTCCGAAAAACCCCTCTTCTCCTTGTGCTGCTTCCTTCACTGGGGCAAACTATGTCACTGGAACCAAGGACACCCTCTCTGTCCCACCCACTTGTATGTTGCCCTTAGATGGGTGATGGAAATCCCAAACGCTCCTGTGAGCAATTTCGAAAGCGGGTGGTGGGGTGGGGACATGGGTGGCATGGGACCAACGTGTTGGAAACTGGCCGCCTTCTGAGCCGAGCTCCTTACTCAGCCAGGTAGAACCCATGGGGCTTTGCCGGCAGTAATCAGTTTTTAACATGGCTTGTCCGCATCATCATCCCTATCCCATAGATAGGGAAAGGGGGACTAAAGGAAACAGAGGGAAAAAATAAGATTGGGGGTGGTTGCACATGGGTTGTGAAGGGGGATGCTCATGTCTCTCTTCTCTCCCTCCTCACAGACAGGTTCGGCGGGTGACGTGGTTGATGGACCCAGCAGAAGCCAAATGGAAGAAGGGCCAATTAATTATGTGGAAGAAAGGCGGCTGAACGAAGGCAGCGGGCTCAGCCTGGTGAATGGGGGCCGGCCAGAGGCGCGGGGCACCGTGCTGATGGAGCCAAGCGGGTGGTCGCCAGGCCAGCCACCCGCCACTGGCAAAGCCCACTTGGAAGACGTCAGGAACCTGGTGGCCTTTTCAGCAGTGGCTGAAGCCGTTTCCTCCTACCGGCTCCCTCCACCAGGGTCACCATCGCTGCTGTATGAGAAGTTTGACTCGGAGATGAGCCGGGGCGGGCTGGATGCAGCAGACGGGGTGCCACGGGGAGAGGATCTGCATGCCCTCCAGGCTGCRCTGGCTTTAGCCAAGCACGGTGTGAAGCCCCCCAACTGCAACTGCGATGGCCCTGAGTGCCCTGACTACCTGGAATGGCTGGAGCAGAAGATCAAGACGGCTCTTGGCGAAGAGCTGGCATCACCGCGGCCCCGTGCCACCGCCATCCCCCCTCCTCCTCCCCCACAAGGTGCTATCGACCTCCAGCCGGTGCCTGAGGCCGCCGAATCGTGCCCACCTGACGGCCTCCCCTTTTCCCAAAGCGCATTGACCATCGCCAAGGAGAAGAACATCAGCCTGCAGACTGCCATAGCCATTGAAGCCCTCACGCAGCTCTCGGCCGCTCTGCCCCAGCCCGTGGGTGATGGACAGCCCCCGCCGCCACCCCCCGCTGCTCCCTTCGGCCCTGGCCCCCTCGCTCCACCGGGGACTGCGTGGCAACGAGGGGATGAGCCCTGTTACCCACCAGAGCCAGGAGCAGCACCTGAGCCATTTTTTGGTGCGGCACCTCCGCGGGGGAACTTTGCAGCCACTTGGGGACTGGAAGCTGAGGGGGAAGCAGGGACTGGAGACCCCATGGCAGARCTGGAGCAGCTGCTGGGTAATGCTGATGACTACATCAAGGCAGCTTTCAAGAAACCTGAAGTGACAGCCAGCAAAGTGACAGCCCCCAAAACAGAACCCCCCGAGCGAGCACCCAGCAAGGAAGCATCAAGTGGCCCCCGTTTGCCGCCGGCACCACCGGAGCCTGACCTGCACAAGAAGACGCAGCTGGTCTTGCAGCAGCATCTCCACCACAAGCGCAGCCTCTTCCTCGAGCAAAGCCTGGCAGTGGCAGCAACACCCCCAGACCAGCCAAGCGGCTGGTGGGCTCCCAGTGCCCTGGCCGTGCCCCCCAAGCCCTTCGAAAAGCAACCCAAAGAGAAGAAGAAGAAAACGCCGCCTGAAAAGCCCCCGCCAGTAAAACCTGTCCGGAAGCAAGTGCAGATCAAGAAGGCGAAGCAGAAGGACTCRCAGGCGCTCTTCCCACCCCTCTGGCAGATCAGCCTGGAGGGGTTTCGGGCACCTGCCGAATCCCCTGCCAAACCCCCCACCGAAGAGATGCAAACAGAACCGCCGCCGCCACCGGCCTTCCCGCACCAGCGTCTTGCACTACCCCTGCCCGCCGCATGCCCTGCACCACCAAACCCCCTCGATGGCATACCCCCGGCTCCCAACACTCAGGAAAGGGGTGCCCCCGGGGGGGGCCCCCAAATTCTCTCGGCGCCGGCGGGCTCGACTGGCTCGGAGGAAGCACCGTCTGCCCCCCCACCGGCCACCTCAGCTCCCATCATGGTGGATGACAAATTGGAAGAGCTTATCCGACAATTTGAAGCTGAATTTGGGGAGAATTTCAGCCTGCCCCACCCCGAGATGCCTGCCCCACTCATTTCTGGGGCTGCTGAGCTGTTGGGGGAGCCAGCACCAGCCCTGCAAGGTTCCCCCASCACCACTGCTGCTGCTGCCCCGACTCAGAGCAGTGCTCCCCAAGCCAGACCCAAAAGCATCTCTCCAGGGAAAGGTCTGCTGTCGGAGCCACCGTTCACTGCCCGGTCCCCCAAACAGATAAAAATTGAGTCTTCTGGTGCTATCACTGTGGTGTCTACCACATGTTTTTACTCTGAGGAAAGCCAAAACCCAGATGTGGATGATGTCGACAGAACACCCACCAAGGATGAGGTTCCACTGACTCCAACTCTGAGYGGTTTTTTGGAGTCTCCACTGAAATACCTGGACACGCCCACCAAAAGCCTCTTGGACACCCCGGCCAAGAGGGCACAAGCGGAATTCCCCACCTGTGACTGTGTTGGTGAGTGAGCAGCCATGCTGGGGGGGKTGCTGGGAGGTGGTGAGTGCCTGAGTGGCTCAGTGAGGAGGTGGCTTTGCAGGGTGGGATTGCCCTGGGTAAATAATGAAGTGAAGCCATGGTGCCAGCAAAGCCTCCATTTCTGGGGAGGTGAGGCACCCACATGGTGAAACACCAGTTTTGTGGAGCTCCCGTTTACTTTCTCTTCTCTCTTATTTCTGTGGTTGGATGGAAATCCCAAGCACAGCAGTCCCAAGCACCTGCTGCGTCACCATGGCAGTGGCACCAGGGTGATTGGATGTGCAGCAACACCAAAGGGCTGTTGGGTTTTGTTTCTATTTAACCTTAACAGCTGAATCCCATGAATCCATGGTGGTCCCAGTGCCAAAATCCACCTAAACCCTTTCTCACGTGGTTATTCCTGGTATTTTCAGCCAAATTAGGTGGTTCAGGTTACTTGGAGTAACCCAAACTTAGGCTTGATGCTTATCTCTGGAGAAATACTTGCTGCTGGGATGCTGCCTTGTTCGCTGGCCCGTCCCACCAGGATGCATTGAAAAATCACCAGACTCTTGGATTTGTGGTTTTTTTTTTGGTGGCTTTTTGGTGTGTGTTGGCATTTATTAGACTTTGCAGCAAGTGCTAGAGAATTCCTTTCAGTCCACCTCCATTTGAGTGTGGGGAGCTGGATATTCCCTCCCCAATATTTAGRCTGGAGCTGTGCGCTCTCCTGGGAGGAGCAGGGTGAGGATTTGGGGCATCAAGCTGGAAAAATGACTCCCTCTGCTGCTGGGAGAGAAGGCCCCAAGCTAAGCACAAGCTGGACTTTATTAGTGAGGCTTATGATTATTTATTTATTTATTTGCTTGTAAATGGCAACAGGAATTAGCCCAAACTCCATGGACAGAAGGAAAAGCTTTAATGAAGCTGCTCAAACCAATCTCAGAGCTTGCCACAAAAAGATTTGAGTTGCTTTTTCTTTTCCAGCATGGTTTAGGGGCTGGAAGAGGAGGAATTCCCCCATTTCTCTGTTTTCTCAAGGAAAAGCTGTGGGTGAAAGAAATGCAGCAGGAGCTGGGCTCAGTGCTTTATTGGGTGCTGGTGCTGTTGGAGGCTGTAATAAAATGAGCCTTTGCTGCRCGTCCTGTATTGATCCCTGTATGGACAACTGCAGCCCAGCTGAGCCTGGCTTTCTCCTGGGCCTGGCTCCCAGCCAGCTGGACATGATGGGAATGAAAATCAGAGCAGTGAGAGCAGAGTGATGCAAAGACAGATCAGCTTCAGCCATTATGCTGGGTGTATCCCACCCAGTAGTGCTGGAACACCCCCGTATGCTGGGGATTCACCCTGCACTCCTGGAGCTCCTTGAAGCATCCATCACTTCACACACGGACACTTTTGTGCCTTGAAAGTCCCCAGGGGTTTATTGCTGTGAGGGGGGTGTTGGTTACAGGGCTGTAGCTCCAGTGTCCTTCTGCCAGCATTCTTCTGAAGTCCCAGCATCCTCCTCCTGCAGCCCCACGATCCTCTTGCAGCCCTATGAACCTCCTCCTGAAGGCCCAGGATCCTTCTGCAGCCCCAGCATCTGTCTGCTGTAACACCAGGATTCTTCTGTAGCTTCAGCGTCCTTCTYCTGAAGCTCCAGAATCCTCCAGTAGCCCCAGCATAGCTCTGTATTTTGAACATTTCCTTTTCCCATAGCTCCACTACCSTTCTCCTGTAGCCCCGAGATCCTCCTGTAGCCCTCGTGTCCTCCAATAGCCCCAGCATCCTTCTCCTGTAGCTCCAGTGTCCTATTCTCGTAACACCAGCATCCTTCTCTATAGTCCTTCTATCCCTCTCTGGTAGATCTARCATCCTTCTGTAACTTAAAGATCCTTCTCCATACCCCCAGTATCCTCCCGTAGCTCCAGCATGCTCCTGTAGCTCCAGCATCCTTCTCTTGTGTACCCAGCATCCTTCTCCCCATACCCTTCTCCCATAGCCCATAACCTTCTCCCATAGCCCCATCATCCTCCTGCCTCTTTCCCACATAGCAGCTCCTTCCAWACACAGGCTTAGCCAGCTCAGGGCATCCCATGAGCATCCTCAAATCCTCTGGGAAAGCCTAAGGTAGGTAGCAACAGTTTCCAGCCCCCAAATCTTTTCGTGATGGATCTGACATCATCCAGCCAGGCTGGTCCCTGTGAGCAGTTCCAGACAGGAGCCCTGGGTGGGAGCTGATAGGGAAGCAGGAAGGGAGTTTGGAATCTGAATCTCCTGCAGCCACTCACCTCAGCAGAGCTCAAGTGGATAAAGTGAATTCCCAGTACTGGGATGGAACTGTGGTCRCTGGCAGGATTCTTGGAAGGGCTGTGGCTTCTCTGGGAAGTTTTTGGCTYCCTAAAGGGGCTGTGTGTTGATGGGTGAGAGTCCATTCCCCAGCATCGTTTTAGCGCTGGAAGCATCTCCCAGAGCATGAAATGAGGAGGAGTTGCTGTTTAACAAACCCCTTCCTGATACTCTTAGAGGGAGATGAATTCTTGATTTTTGGTGCAGAAGTGCACAGTTTGAGGGAATTTGGGTGTTTGTAATCCTTTGGGGCAGCYGGCAGAGGTGTAAACCCCAAAATCTCTGTTCCCCACTCCTGTTTCTGCAGAGCAAATCGTGGAGAAGGACGAGGGGCCATATTACACCCACTTGGGCTCAGGGCCCACCGTGGCCTCTATCCGGGAGCTCATGGAGGAGCGGTAAGRGCCCCTTGGGGGCCAGCGGGGTTGGGGTCCTGTCAAGGGAGTGGGGGCTTGAGAGAGCAAGTGGGGACTTGTGAGAGGAAGCGGGGGCTTGTGAAAGTGAGTGGGGACTTGTGAGAGTGAGTGGGAGCTTGAGTGAATGAGTGGGATCTTGTCAGGGAAATGGGTATTTGTGAAAGTGAGTGCTGTGCAAGTGAATGGGGGCTCCTGAGGACAAGTGGGGTCCTGTGAGTGGGGGCTCCTGAGAGGCCCATGAGGGCCAGTGGGGCTGATGGCCATCCCCTGGCAGGTACGGCGAGAAGGGCAAGGCCATCCGCATCGAGAAGGTCATCTACACGGGGAAGGAGGGGAAGAGCTCCCGGGGCTGCCCCATTGCCAAGTGGGTGAGTGCCTCTCATCCCCCTTGGAGCCTCCCTTCCTGCTTGTGCCCCCCACGCCTGGGGACCAGGAGTTCCCCTGCTGGTGTAGCCACAGTGGGCAGGGTGGGGTGCTCAATCTGTTGCTGGCAAGGAGGAAGTGAGAGTTGAGTCCAGCCCCAGGGAAACTCCTTGGGGCTTCCCACCCTTGGCACCTRTGGAATGGCACATGCACTGCCGGCAGCTCCCCCCAGCCTCCCAAAGCTCACGGGGTAAATGCAACCATGGGACCACTCCCAGCTCTGCCCACCCCCCCACCCCCTACAGGGCACTGGGGAAGACATCCAGTACCCACTTCTGGGATCCTCCCCATCCCAGAACGTGTTTATTGGAGCAGTCTGACTTGGCCTGTTTTCCAGGTGATCCGCAGACACAACCAAGAGGAGAAGCTGCTGTGCCTGGTACGGCACCGGGCCGGCCACCACTGCCAGAACGCTGTCATCATCATCCTCATCCTGGCCTGGGAGGGCATCCCCCGCACATTGGGTGACACGCTGTACCAGGAGCTCACTGACACCCTCACCAAGTACGGCAACCCCACCAGCCGCCGCTGCGGCCTCAATGACGAGTAAGTCCCCAGGCTGGGGAGAGGGGGTGGRAATGGGATGCAGGGCTCCCTGCTGTTCCCAGAGCTGCCATCACCATGTGGCACTGGTGGCTGACGCTGCTCTGCTATGTCCCTCCCGCAGTCGGACCTGCGCGTGCCAAGGCAAGGACCCCAACACCTGCGGTGCTTCCTTCTCCTTTGGCTGCTCCTGGAGCATGTACTTTAATGGCTGCAAATACGCCCGCAGCAAAACTCCCCGCAAGTTCAGGCTGGTGGGAGACAATCCCAAAGAGGTGGGTGATATGGGGGGAGTGGGGCAGCGCTGATGGGGTGGTGGTTTGGACCTCCTTTACCCTCAGGTCTGATGGACTAGAGAGAGATGAGGAAAAGAAAGGTGGCATGAATGGGGCTTCTGTACAAATCCCAGGGAGGAGCCAGAGGGCTCTTGGGTGAAGTGAGCAAAAGCACAACAGACACTGAAGCTGGAGGCTGAATGGCCAAATGCTTACCAGGAATTTAAGCCACATACTTTGTGCCAGRGTGGATATTATGGGAATGCTTGGGTGCCATATGGTGTCTGTGGGCTCTGTCTCCAGTTCCATCCTTGCTCCTGAAAACTCTGGGTGTTATCTTTCTCTTTCCCCTGACACAGGAAGAGCTGCTCCGGAGAAGCTTTCAGGACTTGGCCACCGAGGTTGCTCCACTTTACAAGAGACTGGCACCGCAAGCCTACCAAAACCAGGTACTGGTCATCCCATCCCTTGGCAACAGCGGCCAGGCAGCTGGAATGGATGCAGGATGGTGGTGTCTGGGAGATTTTGGTAACAAGAGCTTTCTCCTCCTTCCACAGGTCACCAATGAGGATGTGGCTATCGACTGCCGGCTMGGCTTGAAGGAGGGGAGGCCATTTTCGGGAGTGACAGCGTGCATGGACTTCTGTGCTCACGCTCACAAGGACCAGCATAACCTCTACAATGGGTGCACCGTGGTAAGCAGGCGTCTGACTGGGCTATTTGGGGTGCTCCTCCCTAATTTAGATGCTCCTTTTTGAGGAGCTCCATGCCCAGTTGTCCTGCCCACATGGCTCCCAGTCCTTGGTGTGGGCACACCTCAGATGAGCCACTCAGGTCTATGGGTACTGAAGCCCTGCTAGCTCGATTCAAGCATGGTGCTAACAGGGACCAGCATCTGCTTTTGTCCACCCCAAACCCAGAGRAGGTTTCCCAATGCCGCCTGGGGACTGGAGTAGTCTGAGGGGGTGCAGGCTGGTGTGGCTTCATGTTGGTGTGGGGGAAAAAGTAGGAGATTTGGCTCATCCAGCACAGGCCTCACCCATCAGCAYCCCACTGACAGCACCTACTCTGCCCAGGTCTGCACGCTGACCAAGGAAGACAATCGTGTGGTGGGGAAAATTCCTGAAGATGAGCAGCTACATGTCCTCCCCCTCTACAAGATGTCCAGCACGGATGAGTTTGGCAGTGAGGAGAACCAAAATGCCAAGGTGGGCAGCGGGGCCATCCAGGTGCTCACGTCCTTCCCCCGCGAGGTTCGCAAGCTGCCCGAACCTGCCAAGTCCTGCCGGCAGCGGCAGCTGGAAGCCAGGAGAGCTGCTGCRGAGAAGAAAAAGCTGCAGAAAGAGAAGCTGATGACGCCAGAGAAGATCAAGCAGGAAGCACTYGAGCTCCCCACGCTCCAGCCAAATGCAGGTAATTGGGGCAGAGGTGAGGTCCTGCCACCCCAAGCCACCCAGAAAGTACATGAGGGGATGGAGATGTGGTTGGGGGATTTCTTGGGCTGGTGTGTTGTGGTGCTGGACGGCATCTCTGTGCCACCTGGGTTTTCATGAAAGTATGAATCKATGTCAGTGCACCAGGCAATGCTGGGTCATGCCAACCTCTGCAGTTGGCTGGCAGACCCATCACCATGCGGTTTCCGAGTCTGGCCGAGTGTTTTGGGGTCCTGGCTCCCCTCCAGTGGCTTCCTCGGCCAGTGGGTCATGGGGGCTGTGTGTGCTGTCCCACAGGTATGGCGTTGAAAGGTGGGATACCCCCGCAGCCACTGAAACCTTCCATCAAGGTGGAACCTCAGAGCCATTACAACACCTTCAAGTACAACGGCAATGCGGTGGTGGAGAGCTACTCGGTGCTGGGCAGCTGCCGGCCCTCCGACCCATACAGCATGAATAGTGTTTACTCTTACCATTCCTACTATGCACAGCCCAATCTGCCTTCTGTGAACGGGTTTCACTCCAAGTTCGCACTTCCCTCCTTTGGGTATTACGGCTTTTCTAGCAACCACATGTTCCCCTCGCAGTTTCTCAATTATGGGGCATCTGAGAGGAGTGGGAGCAGCTGGGTGAACAACAGCTATGAGAAGAAGCCCGATGTTTCGGTGCTGCAGGAGAACCTCAACCACACCTATGGGAACACCAATTTCCCTGAGCCCATCCCGCACAGCRTGCGGAGCAAAAACCATCACCAGCGCACCTACGAGCGAGCCAACCGCTATGCCAGCCAGCAGAAAGCGGCGGCAGCAGTGGCTGGGGCGCACAGGACTAACTCGGGCGTGGAGGAGGCATCCTCATTTGCACAGAACTGTTTCAGCAGCCGGCCCATCAAGCAGGAGCCTCCAGACCCTCCACCCACCATCGAGCCCCTTCCCAGTGCAGCGGCCACTCCCGGGACCAGCTTAACACTGCCGGCCATCCCAGCGCACGGTGCGGCACTGGAGCAACAGTGGAGCCCCTTCAAGGCGCCCCAGGGCACAGCTTCYCCCGAGAGGACTAGCACAGGTGAGGGCTCGTGGAGTGCGCTGGCACCAGGCACAGGTGGGCGGGAGAAGCTGAGCACCTTCGACACTGCCGTGCGCTTGCCGCCACCAGAGAAACAATGGTCCAGTGTCCTGGCAGGAGAGCCAACGGCGGCGGCGCATGGCTCAGGCTTGCTGCCGAAACCATGGAGCCCCTGCAAGCTGGGGGAGACAGCGCTGGCTGGCACAGGCACCCCGAGCCTGCTGGGGTCACTGGGRTTCAATTCGGCTCTGCCGGGGCTACCCAGCTTCCCTGAGGAGCCGTGGGGCTCCGTGAAGGTGGAGGAGCGTAGGACACCAGCACCAAGCCCGGGGCTGCCGGAGAAGCCGTGGGAGGCAGTGGTGGGTGAAAAGGCAGGGCCCCGCCAGGAGAAGCCATGGGACCCCTTTGGCCTGGAGGAGGATCTGCCAGAAAAGGTGGTGAAGGAGGAAGAGGAGGAGGAAGAGGATGAGGAGGAGGAAGAGGAAGAGGAGTGGTCAGACAGCGAGCACAACTTCCTTGATGAGAACATTGGCGGGGTGGCCGTGGCACCTGCCCATGGCTCCATCCTCATCGAGTGTGCTCGCCGTGAGCTCCATGCCACCACCCCGCTGAAGAAGCCCAACCGCTGCCACCCCACCCGCATCTCCCTCGTCTTCTACCAACATAAGAACTTGAACCAGCCCAACCATGGCCTGGCGCTTTGGGAGGCCAAGATGAAGCAGCTGGCGGAGCGGGCTCGTGCCCGGCAGGAAGAGGCAGCACGTCTGGGGCTGCCGCCAGATGCCAAAGCCTTCGCCAAGAAGCGCAAGTGGGGYGGTGCATTGGTGACCGAGGCACCCAGCAAGGAGAGAAGGGACTTGGTCCCCACGCGGCAGGCAGTGGCCATCCCCACCAACTCTGCCATCACTGTGTCCTCCTACGCCTACACCAAGGTGACGGGCCCCTACAGCCGCTGGATCTGAGACGGAGGCAACCGCYGTGGCCCCATCTTACCTCAACCCTCGGCAGCGCCAGAGCCTGGCGTTGCTTCGTGGTGCTTTCTCCTCAGACATGGAGGAGAAGAAAACAAAAGTAAATAGAAAAAAATGAAGTGAAACACAACAACCGTGAAAAATCCAACCCATAGGAAACAAACCCAACATGCACGCTTGGGAACAGCAGAGCCAGTGCAGGCTCATGCTGTCAGAGAGCTGTGCCCCGCAAGGAGTTGGCAAACCAAGCAAAACTTGGTTAAAAAACTCAAGAGGAATGATGCTGTTTGTTGGTTTTAGGTAATCTCATATTTRTATCTCCATGTTTTTTAATCTAGCCTTGGATGAATTTCCAAGCRTCCTTTCTCAAGGAGAGGTTTTTAATTCCACTTTAAAATGCCCATTTGTTGGATTTTATTTTATTTTTTACTCCGATGACAACAACGAAGCTGATCTTCGAAAGAGAAGCCAACATGGAAAAAACACCCTAATCACGATTCCAAACAAACCTGAACACCAAACCAGCTTGAAGGCAAGAGGCGACTCCCTCCAGCTCTGATGCTTGGGAGCTGGTGGGACCATATGCTTTACTGTCACCTGGACATGCTGAACATCCAATTATTTTTATTCCAATACCAGTTTTGCAGCTCGAGGAGTCCTTTCTTACAGCAATGGGAGCCCGCGAGTGAGTGTATTGTCCCGGGATGGCACATCTTCGCTCAGCTCCTTGCCTATGGCGGGATTGTTCTGCCGTGATGGAGCAAGCCGGCGTCTTTCCTGGTGCCGGAGACCTCAGGACATGTCCGGGCTGGGGAATGCCACTGCCAGGGGGCCGTGCTCGGGCTCAGACTTGGGGCTCTTTTGCCAATAGCCCCAGGGCAAGTGGTGGTGGCAGCATCTCCAAAGGAGCCAACAGGACAAAAACAGAAAAAAAAAACCCGAAAAACAGGAAAAAGAACACAAACCAACCCCAAACTGTGAATAGCAAGTGTTGCTCTCTGTACATCACTGTTGCTAAAGTCTGGTGCTTTCTGTCTCCGGGGGACTTTCTCCGTGCAATCGGCTCTGGGAAGAGCGAATCCTAAGACTTGGCTGGCCAAAACCCCGCCAGTCCGCCTTCCCTGCTGGTGCGGGCGAGCCGTGGCCAGCGCCACCAGGGCTCGGTGCTCTTTTCTCTCCCTGGGTGCCATCCCTTCTTCCTACGGATCACCGTTCTTCCCACAAAAAGAAAAACAAAACAAACCCAACCCAACCAATAATCCAGCGATGACAACAACTGCATGGTGCTTTTTGAACTCTCAGTTGAGACTACCTGCCCGACACCGGAGCTGCGCCGGGACAGACAGTGGGTGGCTGAGCTGCCCTGCGGCTCACCGGGAGTGCGACGTGGCCGGAGCCGGGGGTCAGTGCCCCCGGGGGTCGTTGCTTTTGCACTTTGAGGTGCCTTTTGGAGAGCCAGCGAGGCAGCGCCAACGCCGTCACCGTGCAGGATCACCTCGTGTTTACTGTCACCCTCCTTCCTTGTGCACGGGCACAGATCAGCAGGATCTTGGTAAAACAGCCTGAACATTTACCTGGTCTGATTTTAAACCTGTAAATAGGGAAAGAATTTTTTAAAAGCACTTTCACCTAGATTTAAAAATGAAAGCGAAACTTAGAAAGCAAACAACTCCCCTCCTTCCTCTTCCCCTACCCCCCAACTTGAAGCAGTATGTTTTAAACAAGATTATCGTGGGAGAACTGTAAATACTGGCAGAATATTTAACATGCTTTGTCCGTCCTTCATCATTAATGAATTTTTTTTTTGTTTGTTTTTTAATCGTAATCTGTAAAGTCGCATATATTTGACAAGGAAACTCAATGAGCTATTCCCGCTTTTCTTATAAATACCCAATAGCATATCAGGATTGTAAGAGTCGACAGCAAGTCAGATTTTAGGGATGCCCGTGGGCGATGCCGGGGACCCGCCGTGTTGCTGTGGTTCAGAGCGCGGAGAAGGGACCCGGCTGATCYGGGGCCGGATTCGGGTGCCGGCCCCATCGGTGTCGTCTGGGGTTTCTGGCTGGCGTGACGGGGGTGCCTTGGAGCTTTGCCCAGCGGGGCAAGCGTCGGGAGGAGAAGGAGTGTTAGGAGAAGGCAATGGTCCATGTAACCTGTCTAAGTCCTGCTTCCTCTGAGGTTTCTCGGTGCAGGGAGGGGTCAGTCCAGCGCGGCGTTGGCTCCAGCGGGTTCAGCCCGGGAGAGTGGGGAGCTGCTGGCGCCGTGGGTTGGGGAGCAAGAACTGCTGCAGTCTCACGTTTTTACACTACATTACGTCTAACCTACCTCAACTCTCAGTCATTACAAATTCGCATGCTTCAGACTTCTACACAAACTCGAAATCTATGCACAGCTCTTTACCCCTTGCTGCTGAGAGGCTGTTTCCAAGCAAAATCTTTTCCTTTACCCATCCCGGCGGCCGTGCTTGTCCCGCCTGCACCGAAGCCACAGGGGTCACAGAGCTCGGGTTAGGGATGTTTTTAATTGCTTTGAAGTGGGATGTGGGGACCTGATTTTGCAGCAGGTCATGGCCACAATGGTGCTAGAACAACACCTGTGATAGAAACCCTAGGGAGGGCTTGGTGCAGGGAGCACCGACCAGCTCCTTTATCCTGCTTTGGTTTTTCTGGCCATGATGCTTTGCCTCAGGCAGGAAATGGGGGATGCAATTTAGGTCCCCCCATCTCGATGCTCTCGGGATGAGGCATGGGAAGGAGAAGGAAACCAGAATCCTTGAGGTGCCTCAATTGCTGATTTTTCCTTTTAATACTGAAGTACGCTTTGTGGGCTCTATAAGGCATATTTTTATTAAATGAAATCTTGTAATACAAACGGTGCTATGGTGTTTTAACTAACTGTATCATGCTTCTGCCTGATTCCATCTCGCCGAGGTGCTACTAATGTATATATGAAACTAAGGAACCAAGATAAAAAAAAAATTAAGCAATGTCGTTGAGAAGGAAGTTTATTTTTCAGGAGCGACAGCTCGAGGCGTTCTGKTAGCCAGTTGGGTTTATGCAAACTGAAAGAGGTGCCATGTCCAAGGTGTCTCACTAACCAGGGTCATGGTGGAGCCGTCCCCTGTGGATCCAGGCACAGGTGTGGTGCTGGGATGAGGTGCTCACAGGTGGCATCGGGGCACAGGGCTCAGCCAGGTGCATGATTTCAGTGCTCAGCTGGAGTGCTTGGACAGGCTCGGGCAGGTGCGTGTTCTCGGTGCTCGGACGCAGTGCTTGCACAGGGTGCTCAGATGTGGCGCGTGGACACAGTGCTCAGATATGGTGCTTGGCCACACATCGTGGATGTGGTATTTTGGTGCTCGGTCTTGGTGCTTGGGCACAGTGCTTGGTCACACGTTGTGGACATGGTGCTTGGACTTGGTGCTCAGGTGCAATGCTCAGCCTCACATCATGGACATGGTGCTTGGACATGGTGCTCGGCCGCAGGTCATGGACGTAGTGCTTGGATGTAGTGCTCAGACATGGTGCTCAGTCACACATTGTGGGTGTGATGCTCAGACATGGTCCTCAGGCACGGTGCTCGGCCACACACTGTGGACACGGTGCTCAGACATGGTGTGTGAACACGGTGCTTGGACATGGTGCTCAGCTGTGGTGCTCAGCGTGGTGCTTGGACACAATGCTCAGCAACAATGCTCAGACATGGTTATGGACATGGTGCTTGGTTCCAGTGCTTGGCCACACATGGTGGACGTGGTGCTCAGATGTGGTGTGTGAGCATGGTGCTCAGACATGGTGCTCAACTGCGTTGCTTGGACATGGTGCTTGGATACGCATCAAGGACGTGGTGCTCGACCATGGTGCTCTTACATGGTGCATGGACATGGTGAGCTGGTGCTTAGACTTGATGTGTTGACACAGTGCTCAGCCAGGGTGTGTGGACATGGTGCTCTACTGCAGTGCTCAGACATGGTGCATGGACATTGTGCTCGGGCAGGATGCTCAGCCATGCATTGTGGACGTGGTGCTCAGACGTGATGTGTGGACATGGGTGCTCTGCTTGGTGCTTGGACTCGGTGCATGGACTCGATGCTTGGCCATGTGTCATGAACAAYGGTGCTTGAGCATGGTGTTCTGCTGTGGTGCTTGGACATGGTTCATGGATGTGGTGCTCAGCCATGATATGATTGACCACGTACTGTGGACATGGTGCTTGAGCATGGTGCTCAATGGTGGTGCTCGGGCACAATGCATGGACACAGCACTTGGCCACACACCATGGGCACAGTGCATGGACACAGTGCTTGACCATGRTCTGTGAACATGGTGCTCGGCTGCAGTGCTCGGCCGCAGTGTGTGGACATGGTGCTGAACTGAGGTGTGTAGACACAGTGCTTGGCTGTGGTGCTCAGCCATGGCACGTGGACACGGTGCTGAACCGGGACGTGTGAGAGCAGCGCTGGCAGGTGGCACATGGGCACGGTGCCTGGGCAGGGTGCTCAGCCCGGGACTGTTGTACACACGTGGTGCACGCACACCGTGTGTGGGTCCCATGTGTGGGTGTAGTGCTCAGACCTGGTGTGCAGACACAGTCCTCATTCATTAACTTATGCTTGACTAGGAGCATGGGCCCAGAGAGGATGCTTGGGCAGAGAGCATGGATACGGTGGTTGAACATGGAGCATGGACACAGTGGTTGCCCTCTGTGCTGGTGCTGGTTCACCGTGACCCCGCAGCACAGACTCCTGGCGCCACCCGGCTGGGCTCAGTCCCAGCAGTTCCCTGCAGCACCAACCCAGCGCCCCTGGTGCTCAGCATTGCTCTCAGCCCCACACCAGCCCCTGGTGCCTGGCACCGTGCTCTCGGTGCTCAGCCCTGTGTCCAGCATTGTGTCCAGCACTGTGCTCCCAGTGCTCAGCCCCGTGTCCAGCCATGTCCAGCATTGTGTCCAGCACTGTGCTCCCGGTGCTCAGCCCCGTGTCCAGCCATGTCCAGCATTGTGTCCAGCACTGTGCTCCCGGTGCTCAGCACCCATGTCCAGCACCGCATCCAGCCTCATGTCCAGCCCTGTGTCCAGCCCGTGTCCAGCCTCTCACTCTCCGGGCTCAGCTCCGCGCTTCCGCAGCTCCTCGTGCTCATCCCCTCCCTGCCTCACGGCTGTCTCCCCGCCCATCCTGCTTCTGCCCGATTCTTTCTTTACCCCCCCCTTTTTTTTTTTCCGTTTATTTTGGGTTTATTGGTGCTACTTTCTTCCCCTTGGGCAGCAATCCCCCCGCGCCTCCCCCCCCAGGCAAATACCTCAGCCCCCCCCAGCCCCCGTGAGCGAATCCGGGGTGAAGCTTTTCCGAAATCAGGGATCCTTCTGCAGCGGTGTTTCTTCCTTAGTTTTTCCCTCTTAGTTTTTGCCCTCCTCTTCTTCCCTTTCTGCCCGGGTTTTTCCTCATTTCTCTGCATCCTTCAGGGATTACAAACTGCCGGAATTTCAACCTCGTTTTGATTCCGGGAGCGAGGAGTTTTTTGGCTGGTGGGAATTTTTTTTTTTGCACCGCGGCGCAAAGGAAAAAGAGGTGGTAATTCCAAATTTAAAACCAAGCGCCGTTTCTTCTCGGATTCCGGAATTCGGTCGGAGGCGGGGCGGCTATTTTGGCGTTTTTTTTGGATAATCGAGATGGGGAGGTGGGACAGCGGCAGGTGGAGTGGGGAGACACCGCAGGGGTGTCCCGGCGACTCCGAAAAATTCACACTTGAAGATTTCTTGGTTGGCTCGGGACTGTGGTTACTTGAAATGAAGTTTTTTTCCGGGGCAGATCGAGGACCGGTAGATTTTTTCCCCATGTCTCAAGGCAATAGGATTAATGTGTATTAAACTGTAGATACTTCTAGGACAGTAAATTTATGCTGATAATTTTATTTTGTATAATTTTCCCAGTTTCTTTTCCCCCTCTTTGTGTTGTTTTTTCCCCTTAACCTTTTCTTTTTCCCTTTCCCCCAGTGTTTTGGTAAATTTATTTTTTAGGATGCCTAAAAATTGCAAGTATGGATCCTTCCCCTCTCCCCTGTTCTTGTTGGGTTGTGTTTTTGTTTTTTCTTTTTTTTTTTTTTT